TAACCATACTAATAATTACATAAAATAGGAATAATCTTAGCATCTCTAAGACAGATCCTGACAAGCCCAACTGAATACTATCTATATGTACATTCTTCACTTTAAATATAAAGAAACAAATAGGTTAAAAGTACAAGGAAGGGAAAAGACCTATTATGTAGACTTTAATAAAAAGAAAGTTGGAGTGGTGGCTCTATTTGTGTATTTGTATCTGAGAAAGGAGACTTCAGACAATATTGCCAGAAAAAAAACAGATGCTTCCTAACAGCGGCAGGTCCCTTCATCAGGCGGCAGTGCTAGTGTGTCAACACCTGCCTTCAGAGCTTCCAAATATACGAAGCCAAAAAGGACAGGAGTGACAGGGAAACAGTCGATTCCTCTCGGCAACTGATGAACAAGTGGACAGAAATCAATGAGGACACAGAAGACGGACAACGCTGTCAACCAGCAGGACCTGCCCCACTCCCCAGACTCCCCCGAGCAGCACACAGGGCCCATTCCTCTCAAGTCCACATAAAACCTTCACTGCAGCAGCAAACCAGAAATCAAACAGATTAACATACATGTTACGTACCCTGACCATGATACTAATAATGGGAAGGTTATCTGGAAAGCCTTAAGTGCTTGGAAAATAAACAACAAACTTCTAAGCAATCAAAGGGTCAAAAAAAAAAAACAAAACCCCAACCCACAAGGGAAGCTGGAAATGAACTCAATGCAAATACAACATCTCAAAATGGGAGATGCAGTTAAACAAAGGAAAGCCAAAGAAATGGATGAACAAATTTATCCAGCAGCATAATTGAGCTGAAACGAATCTATCCGGTAATGACGTAATGATTAGGTACGGGGTGGTTTTCATCATTACATGAAAGGGCCTAACTCACCAATATTTATTGAGACCTCTGTAAAAGCAAAGAACTGCGCTGGCTGTTACTAGGCACATAAAGAAATAAAACAGAGTCCCTCAATTTTCCAGGAAAAATTAAGGCCTGTACCCAAACTCCAAAGCTAAGCAGAGGGAACACCGAGGCGGCCTGGTCCCTTCCCTGACAGGACGCCGTGGGGGCTCTGCGAAGTGGAAGCCGCCCCTGGACAGAGCTGTGGGGGCACAGACACAGCTCCCAGCCTGAGCAGAGGCCGAAAGGCCAGGAGCCAGGAAGCAGACTCCATGATCTCACAGCACAGGCGCTGAGCGGGGAAGCGTGGGGACCTGGTCCCGAGGCTGGAGCAGCCCACAGGCCACACCTGCGAGTCCTGGTTCCACCTGAGTCCTAGTAACAACGCGGCTACAGGCGAATCTCCCCTCTAATCTGAGGCCCACTTTCTTCCTCCATCCAGCAGAGCCTGGCTGACCTCAGCTGGACAGCACCCCTCAGATGGACAGTACCTTGATACTGAGGCGGAGGGAGGGAGGGAGGGGGGGCTGAAGGCTTTGGGAAGCAGGAAGTGACAGGGGCTGAGGGAGAGGACTGCGCCCTTCTGAGGTGAGTATCTGATTTGTATCTGATAAAGGAGACTTCAGACAATATTGCCAGAAAAAAAACAGATGCTTCCTAACAGCGGCAGGTCCCTTCATCAG